TTTTCGGTCTGGTCCGGTTTTGAAAACCAAGCAGCTAATCCGAATTCGTTACTCCTGGCCTCCCCAATCCTCAAAGTTGATGTTGATGGTGCCTTGGATTCGTTTAGGGCAAGGAGTTGGGCTTATCAGTAGAGATCACAAATGGAGAACTAATGGTGACCCGTGCCAGTGTTTGTAATTTGAACGTTTCTAAAGTTATAGAAGCCCTTATGTGTTCTGAAGGGCTACACAACGGGGGGTGCATGCAAGATTTAATTCAAAGCCTCCACTACAACCAACAGGAGACCTTACCAACCAGTTGGTTAGCACCTTGCAAGCCCTTGTTAGGGGTGTCAATGGACCAGTTTTGGATTGGATCTCGTCCAAACCAAAATCAATTTGGATGGATTGGATGGATCAACAAGATTGGGCTAGTCCAGACTTGATAATCCAAAGTATTTATTGGATTGGATTGAATTGGACCTGGTTCGTCCGTAATGAATTTATGTTGGATTGGGTTGGATTGAGCCAATATCTGGCCAATTGATAGAAGATAAGAATATAGGTGTCAATGGATTGAGTTTGGGTTAGAATTAATCTAAATTAAAACAAATTTGAACAGACATTGAATTGGACCGGTCCAAAACAGTTTAAAATATTCATTGGATTGGGTTGGGCCTGGTCCATTTTTAATGGACGTACGTTGGATTGGATCGGATTGGACCAAATCCAGTCCAATTGACACCCCTCGCTCTTGTGACATGGGTATGTTATTTGTTTGATTTGAAGGAGATGTACAAAAGATTGTACACCTCATGTTCATGTTTTTTTTTTCTCGATAAAAAAGGAACCACTATAAACATCATGGGTACAATTGGATCCCCCTTTTACAACCACCCAAAAACATGCATGTAAATATGTAGGGGGATTGGTTCTATTAACAAAAGTATTTTTAAGCCTAGCTCTTTTAGCAAGTTCATGAGATGGCTTAACTACCTCCCTGTTTACATAGAGAAACTTTACATTTTCAAAAAGTAACAATAATTCAAATATATGATGTTAGCCCATTTTTGGGTATTGAATATAAAAAGTTTGAAGATATGATGAGTTAAGTTGAAGATTAAAGGGATCAGTCCACCCTTAGGGTGAAGCTAAGATTTCTAGGGCTRGGCTGGGCTATCTGAGCGAATACGACAGTGATCTGGACATAAGGGGCCGGCCAACGTGAAACACATGCACATTGAATTTCAGTCGTGATAGGATCCCGAACAAGTGATGGTCCGGACGCTCTTTTCTCCAGCTCATCCCGACGCTCTTGATGACACTCTTGATAGGTTTATAGGTTGGGTCCAGTCCGATGTGCATGATTTCATCTCCCACCCCATCAATATTTTACATTGTTCCTAGCATCTTTCTTCTTATTATATACTAGCAGAGGGGGCCCTACGTTGCAGGGGCTTGCTCATAAACTATCAGGCTCGAGCTCGATTTGAATTAGAGACTTAAGCTCGAGCTCAAGATTGGCTCGAGTCAAAAGCTCGGAAGTTCAAGCCCGGCTACCTTTGATTGCAGGTCTCCCAAGCAGTCGAGGTGCCGAGCCGAGGTCTCCCTCAATTGTCGAGGTGCCAAACCGAGCTCTCCCTCAGCTACTGAAGTGTCAAGCTGAGGTCTCCCTTAATTGACAAGGTGTCGAGCTGAGGTCTCCCTCAATTGTCGAGGTGATGAGCCGAAATCTCCCTCAGTGACCGAGGTGCCAAGCCAAGGTCTCCCTCAGTGGTCGAGGTGTCGTCTAGCTCGAGCTTGATTCAAATTAGAGACTTGAGCTTGAGCTTAGAAGTTCGAGTTTGGCTAGGCTCGAACTTGACTACCTTTGATTGTAGTTCCCCTAACAGCCGAGATGCCGAGTAGAGGTCTCCCTCAATTGGAGAGAAAGTAACATTCTTGTAATTTATAAGGAGAGAGAGAGAGAGAGAGAGAGAGAGAGAGAGAGAGAGAGAGATAGCATTCTTGTAATTTGTAAGAAAAAGAGGAAGGAGAGTTGGTAGGAGAGAGTGGCATTCTTTTAATTTGAAAGAAAAAAAAAAAGCAAGAGAAAGAGAGAGAATTGGTAGGAGAGAGTGGCATTCTTATAATTTGAAAGAAAAAAAAAAAAAAAACAAAAGAGAGAGAATTGGTAGAGAATGGCATTCTTGTAATTTTTATGAAAAAAGGACAAAAAATATTGTTAAATTCTATTTCCTTCATCCTCGGGCCTTCCTAGGTACACATTTCAGCTTAATATATTTACTAGCAAAAAAGGCAAAAAGCAAAGAAATAAGTTTGAATAATTCTTTATTGAACAATTGGGAATTAAAAAAGAAAGAAAAAGTTAATATAATTTTCAATTAAAATTGGAACTTCAGCAATTTATACTAATTCTGTGCTATCTCATTCTTTGGAATAAATAACTCAATTTATTCATATTTAACCCCTTTGAACTTTAAAATACTAATAAAGTTAGAGATAGCCCAATAATTAGATCATGCAACATGTCAAAGCATAGATGGTTATTAAATGTGACCCAACATGTCACATGTCAAATGATTGGGTTTATTAAATAAATAAATGTTTAGATAATATTTTATTAAATTTAATAAAATAAATAATTTATTGTACTGTCAAAAAGGAATATTGTTTTCCTATGAAGGCTGACTTTGTTCTTCAACAGCTGGAAGTTAGCATAGAGACCCAACACCTTGCCCAACAACATCTCATTGCCTCTCTCCAAACCCTTGTTCCCGACCTCGTAAGTTCCCTCGACCTCTCCCTCAAGGTTGTCTCCGCCTTCAATGGCCACCAGTATACTCCATCCCCACCCCCTGATCCTTTCATCCACCCCGCTAAGCCCCTCCAACCTCGTCGTTGATCCATCAAGCCCAAACTCCCCCAATCCGTCGCTTTGGTCGCGGATTGTCTTTTGCAGCGAGTGCCCTTTACGCCGATTGACTCTTCTGCAATGCTTAGAAAGCTCGAAAACAACCAATTGGCAACGACGGCAGAGAAGTCAGCTTTGCTCGAACTAGGAGGGGAATTAAATCGTAGAGGAGGAGTTGGGGTTGGAGGTGGCGACGAAGATGGGAAAATAGTAGTGGTGGTGGAGGATGTAGACGCAGCTCGAATGGCGCTGCAATGGTTTATCCATACTAGTTTATTTAATTATTCACTTACTGTATATATAAACAATTGTATAGATCAAAATTCTTATAAAATAAAAATTTTAAATTTTTTTTTTCAATTTTTATAAATAAGCTTTTAATGACTTTAGCCTCATCCACGGCCTGGCTTGGCCCACAGATCAGCCCAGCCTGTGGCATGTCATGGGCTCGCACGGGCTTGGGCCATTAACTGTGTCGGACCCACCCCAAAATATCTCAAAATATTTACCTTATTTTATCTAGTGTTTTACCCTGTTACAGGACAGTTGCATGCATGTATCATTTTGGTTTTTACATTTTTTGTTTATTACAATAATATTATTTTATTTGAGTTTCACTAATACATTTATATTTGAATTAAGAAATTGAATTATTTAATAATAATATTATTACTAAGCAATAATAATAATAGTAATAATTTGGGGTTAGCTATTGAAGTTTGAGAGTGAAGAATTTATGCCACTACCGACCAAACATATATGCTTTGTAGTGGTGGATCCGGTCTAAACCGGTCAGACCAACCCGATGCTGAAAAATATTTACTGATTGGTTCGTGATACGAATCGTACGCACATCAACGGGTAAAGCTAAGAATCGGTCCATTGGTGTTGGGCTATGCATCGTAATCCGTACACCAAGGAAAAAAAAGACGAGCCGTGGATCAAATGAGATAAGTCTAGAATAGCCCATTCAAAAAGGAGATGGTCGTGTACGGAGAAGCTAGCCCAGTGTCAAAATTAATGGAGTCCAAAGGCACTGGATTATTAGAGTGGGAAGGAAGTTTTTTGGAGCGTACGTGTGGAACGCGGTTGTTGAACAGGGTGCCCCCGTTGGTCGTGACGTGAGGTTCAGCTGGCAGAGAGGGAACGCAACGCAGGGATCCCGGCCGCTGAAGACGTCAAGGTTCCCCCGCCCAAAGTAAGAGTGGCCGTGTTCCATGATCCCCCACTTCACTTCTGGAGATCCGGCGTGAAAAAGGTTCCCGTCTTTACGTACAGCGTGTATACGCACTTACCGCCAAATTAACGCGTAGATGAAAAAACGATCCGGCGGCGAACGACGTCAATGGAAATTAAGGTTAGAAATGAGACTGTAAAAGCACGGCGGTTGTGATCATACCGATTTGAATATCCCTGATTGGTCAATTACACGAGTAATTGTACCTGCACACTTCATTGAAAAATCAGTTTTTCTTTTATAAAACATAGTTTTTAATTTGTCCCACATTGAAAAGTTACAAGTTTTGTTTTTATATTTCAATAGAAGTTGATTTTCACTTCTTAGAATCAGTAAATGAGAATGGGGATTTGATACCGCACAATGCGCATGCATGTGTGTGTACGGTACAATGAGGCGCTTGCACTTTGCGCACACTCGCATGGTTCGCGATGGATGGCTTTGGTTTTGGTGCATTATTGACCGTTGATCACTGTTGATGAGATCAATGGTCACAATTCGATCGGGTGTGATCAAGAGGTACAATTCAAAGTTACCAGTCACTAACTGGTAACTACTTTTTAAACAGTCACAATTTCAAGATGCATTCTCTAAACCAGCACCTACCTTTTCTTCATACCTCTTCACAAATTATTTAAGGAACAAGAATCAGACTCCAAAACACACAATTTCGAAATTCATTTTCTTTCTCTCTCTCAATCCGGTCTGCTAGAGACTCTTCAACTTTGCTGATTACAGATTCTCGCCCAAAGCTTTATTGTATTCTAAGAACGAATTTATGTGTAACCCAACAATAAACTCAGTAAAAGTGAATAAGCGCCTCATAAGATAGTGTCTCGTCAATTCAGTCAGGGTGTTTCTTTCTTCTATCTTCTATGTGAACAACGTACAGAGACCGGATCTGCTCCTCAGCCCTCAGACATACATTTCAAAATATCTTCCGTACTTAGATGTCCATTTGTGAGAAACAGATCCCGTCACGAGCATACAGTGTATTTATAATGGTGGGATCGAGAACCATTTTAAATTACGAAATTATCCATCACGTGTCGAGCACAGGGTGCTCAAAATGACAAACGTATCGCGCATTTGAAGTGACCGTACACCTCCAAATAGCAGAGGGATCCCCTCAATCGATTAACGAGAGAGAGAGAGAGAGAGAGAGAGAGGGGCGGTGTTGATTGTTGAACTCAATCAAGTCGTCACTAATGGGTGCTGGGGAAGGGGAAAGCAGCAGCAGCAGCAGCGTTGCACATGCAGCTCCACTGACACGCCCTCTTGAAGGCCGGGTGGCAATAGTCACTGGTGCGTCCGGCGGAATCGGCCGCGCCATCGCCCTCCACCTTGCCTCTCTCGGCGCCAACCTCGTCCTCAACTACGTCGGCATTTCCACCCAACCCCAAGCCCATCTCCTTGCCCACGACATCAACTCTTCGTCGTCCCCTTCTTCCTCTCACCCTCGACGTGCACGAGCCATTCCAGTCGAAGCCGACATCTCCGATCCTGCCCAAGTAAAATGCCTCTTCGATCAGGCCGAGCAAGCATTCGGCGCACAACCCCATATCCTCGTCAACTCAGCTGGGGTGAGCGACCCCAAATATCCAACCATAGCAAATACCACGGTGGACGACTTCGACAGGATCTTCAGCGTCAACGCTCGAGGAGCGTTCTTGTGCTGTAGAGAGGCGGCAAATCGGTTGAAACGTGGAGGCGGAGGGCGGATCATATTGATTTCGTCGTCGCAGGTGGGTGGGCTCAAGCCGGGGTATGGAGCTTACACGGCATCCAAAGCGGCGGTGGAGACGATGGTAATGATACTGGCGAAGGAGCTCAAGGGGACGGGGATCACTGCCAACTGTGTGGCGCCGGGACCCATAGCGACTGATATGTTCTTTGCTGGCAAGGGAGAGGAGCAAGTGAACAAGGTGATTGAGCTGTGTCCACTGGGTCGACTGGGTGAGACCACAGACGTGGCTCCGCTTGTTGGGTTCTTGGCCACTGATGCCGGCGAGTGGGTTAATGGGCAGGCAATTCGCGTTAATGGTGGCTATGTCTGACCACTACTGTCTCTGAAACCATGCTCCCTTAATTTAACTTAATTCCTTGGGAGCTTGAGTGTTGTTGCTCCATAGCTATTTAATCTGTTTCCTTTTTTCTTCTTGATTCTAGTTGTTTTCACTTTTCAGTCGCTCGACGGGTTTGTTATAAATGTATTTGAATGAGAGAGAGAGAGAGAGATTAAGGGTGTTCGAGAGAGAAAAAGAAAATGGAAGAAGAAGAGGTTGAACTACTACTGGTTTACCCCACACCCATGCATGAGAAGCGTACAAATCATGCTCAGAGAGATATTTGATGACAGAGACATGCACTCAGACGGCAGATCCAGAGTCCCTTTCACACAATTACGCGTCCGTGTTATTAGCAGATCCGGAGTCCTCCCAAACTGCCAAGGCTCTCTGAGTTGTTTTCCTTTCCAGAGCATTCGATATTGATAGGCACCTCTAACAATGGGAATTTGCTTCATCACTCCCCTTTGCAAAGTTAAAATTTTCTTTACCATAGTCTGTGATAGGTGTCCAAAATGAAAATAAAGAGATGCTTGTTTGTTGATTAACCATTATTGTCATTGTACCTTGTGCCATGCTAAAAGGTTTTACGGGCTAAGGTTTAATCTTTACATGGTCTTGCTACCACTCAATTACAAAGACTAAATTAAAGATTTTGTGGAACGGACACAAGCAAATATTAAAATGCTGAAAAATCAATCATATTAGATAATTACAATAATGTTATTAGAAAATACATGCATACCCCACGCATGATACACATCATAACAGTCTGAAGGCATGTTGAAGGTACGGTAGAAGGTGCTTGAAGGTGCGGTAAATGAGTCATTTGTGACATTCTCCTCCCAAAGATCGGCTTCGGCTATGTTGCTGCTCGGATTAGCTGAGGTCAATGAGGTAAATTCATTCACAAGTTCCGAAGGCAGGCCGAAGGCTTTGAAGACTCTGAAGAGAGTAAGCCGAGGTCAAAGACTCTAGGTCGAGACGAGGGGCTTCCTTTTGAGGACTGTAGATAGTCGTCTCGGAAAAGAGGTTCCTGGAGATCTGAGGTACTACAAAACAATAGATGTCAGAGACTCCGAGTAGAGACCCGAGGCGGAAGCTCTAACGCTCAAGTTAGTACAAGGTGTAAGGTAGGAGAAGGTACAGACGAGGTCTCGATGGAGATCCTCAGGTGCACTGGGTCCCTATGAGTAAATGCCAAGAAAGCGAAGTAGGTGCTGGAAGTAAATGAGAGAGTTGTATCAGAATTCTAGGATCTGGATCACTTGTCAAGGGAGAGTTACTTCATATTTATACTTGAGTGAGTTGGAGGTAGGTGGAGACAATGATTAAAGTATCGGTATCGGGCATCGTATCGGACAACTTGGATATAAATACATATACAAATACAATTGGGAAACGCTTGGATACGAACGAAAAATATGAAAATGTTTGGATACGCTAATGAAATGCATATAAATTCAATAATTATATTAATAACTTGTCAAAATAACTATAAATAACGTATAAATACATAGGAATTGTATATTTTAATGGTATATCTGAAGAAAAATATATTATTATTGATATAACGAGAAGCATAGATATTATATAAATTTATTGATAATGCATCAATTTTTTTTTTATTAAAATCCAAGGCACAAAAATTACACAAACATTATATTTGGATTATTATATCAATTATTTATTTTACTATTTCAAATTTTAACATTAACAAAAAAAAGCAACCAAAAATAAATTTGCAAATGTTCAGTAAATAATATTTTTACTTTTATTGACAATAAATATGTTTATATAAAATGTAAATGAAATTTGAAGATTCATATCATATGAAAATTCATAAATTTTAATTACAAAAATAAGTATTCACTATTAATATTTTTATTTTTATGAATTTTTTAAAATAAAAAATTAATTTTTATTTAAATGTATTTTAGTAGATTTGATAGATTCAATTTATATTATATTCTCAAATATTTTGTAAACAACATTTTATTTTTGTAATAATAAGTATATTTTTATTTAATGCAAATTGAAATATTAATTAATAATTTATAAAATAATTATTCTATTAATAATTTTTTAATTTGTATAAATATATTGAAATTAAAAATCATTTATATATATATATATATATATGTGGATTTGATAAATTATTTATTTTATTGATTTATAAAATAATAATTTTGAATATTATTCTTGTTAATTTGACTTGAAGTTATTGAACATTTTTTTTGGTAAATGAGTTATTGAACAATGTGTAGATTAAATGTAATATATTAATTGTAGTAAAACATAATTTATTTCACTTGTTATCACAAAATGGAAGTTGGCTCGATGGTTAACATCCTTGTGCTCTTGGATGTTGTGTGACTTAGGTATGAGGGATCGAATCATGTTAAGGCCATTTTTTCTAGCGAAAGCTATGAAGTTTCTATGCGATACACATGTTCGATACGCCTTTGTATCGTTGTGTATCCGCCGATACAGTGGTGTATCGGACTGATACGCAAGACTGATACGATACAGTGTCAGTTTTTTAATCCTTGGGTGGAGATGAATGCACTAGATGAGGGTCGTACGAAGTCAGCCGACAGGTCCTTGCCCCCCACTCCCGAGCCGAGGCGACGTCTTGGCTTCGGCTAGTAATGAAGATGGTAGGCGGGGTCAGGCCTCGGCTTCGATCATCGAGAGTAGCAGTCCCCATGCCTTCAGATTCATCAACCAAGGGGTATCATGCAGTGGCATCACTTTCACTTCGTGTGCATCTTCCCTCCTCGTCAGTTTGGAGATGCGTGTGGTGTGGATGCCTCAGTCTAGTGGAATTGTTCCATATCACGTACGGTTAGGCCACATCAGGGGCCTACCTGTGCAGGACGATCACCCAAATGGGCACGGGTTCACCGGGTTGAACGGTACACTGGGTGGTTTACGATGGGCAACCCTTGCGGGCTGCGGCGGGCGAGCCTCGCGGTTCACCCAGTGTCATTTCATCTTCCAAGGGCACGGGCTGAAAGGTGCGGTATAACTGGTTCGCAGAAGCGGAGAGTTCCCATGACCGTTGGATCCATGGTGACCTGAGTCGTTGCTTGGGCATCGTTTCGTCTTCCGAGGACGASCATCGGGTGGCACATTATGGTTGGATGGTAGAAGCGGAGGCACCTCAGCCATCGAATCCAATGAGATCTGGATCGTCCATTTTCCTTTAAATAGGGGCCCTAGTGGTGACTTTCCCCATCATTTGAACTTAGACACGCTTGTTATCGAGTAAACTCAGCTTCCAAGCTCTCGATCCTTCAGGACTTTCCTAAGTTCTCCATTCTTTAGGACACCTCGTCTTCACCTCCTTCTATTTAGGTAATTCACTATGTCGTTCTCGGACTCTAGCCCTGAATGCCATGAACTCCCGAACACCTCGAGAGGGACTTCTCCTGAAACCCCTTCTCCTCTCTCCTCCCTAGGTTCTTTAGCCGTAGCCCCCCTTCGGCAGGAGGTGACCGTACTAAGGGAAAGGGTAGCCTCAAGGGGTGTCGAGGGCTATCGCCGGGGTAACAACTCTTTCCATGAAAGTGCCACATCTGCATCCTTGAGGGAGCCTAAAGGGTCTCCTCTCTCCGAGGAGGAGGATGTCGTGGAGGTTGTCGCCGGACCGGTAGGAGGGAGTGCTGCCCGAAGCGTGGCTGACACTGGGGTCCCACACTTGGAGTTTGACAGCTCCTTGGATGTGGGCCAAGTCAAATCCCTGGCAAGGAGGTTCCATATACCCCCCGTCCTATGATCTTAGAGTCTTAATGTAGGTGATCGACCTTAGACCCCTGGGGAGGGGGAAATCTGTGTCTACCAGCATTTTTTAAAGTCTGGTCTTTGGTTTTCCCTCCCTTCTTTAATCTTTGAATAGTTGAAGTGGTACGGTATCACTATCAGTCAACTCATCCCCAATGCCCTTAGGACCATCATAGCGATGTTAGTATGGGCTCGACTTCGGGGTGTGGAGCTAACATTGAGGATGTTCCCCGACATGTTCGCGCTAAGGAAGCACGCTTCCAAGACCAACATGTATTACTTCCACCCTCGAAGGGGGAAGCCGGTGCACAACCCCTCGTCTATCCATGGGTGGAAGGACAAGTTCTTCTATATCTCCTGCCCCAAAGGCTGGAGGTTCAAGTTAAACTGGGGGGAGGCCTGCATAGTCGTCGAGAGATGTCCACCTCCGCTCCGAGATGAAGAGGCCGCAGTCATAGCTCATCTACTACTAAAGGGGACATTCCAGGTGAAGTCGTTGGTAGAGGAGGAGGTCCCCCTAGTCTTCGCTGAGATTAGCCCTACCCCCCTCAGTAGGAGAGGTTTTGTAGTTACTTAGTATGTCTTCCACGTTTTTTCCTTGGTGTACTGGCCGCTTTCTTTTGCTATTTCGCAGAAGTGCCCATGGATGCCAAGAAACGCTTACTCAAGAAGGCCCAGGCGAAGCAGGCTGGAGAACAGACGCCGAAGCGGCCCGATAAAAAGGTTGCCCCCCTATCCCAGCGAAGGGGGAAATCAGCAAGTCCCTACAAAGGGGAAACAACCAATGGTGGCATCCCAGCAGGTTGCCGGTGGGGTGAAGAGGCCCCCAAAGGGGGTCAAGAAATCAACAAAGGCGCCGAAGAAGCCACCCAACGGGGCCGAGGTGCCAAAGAGGCCCACAGAAGGGGCCGAGGCGGGTCGGAAGAGGTCCGTCGTAGATACGCCAAGGGAGGAGCCGTCGCGAATGGTGGCCAACATGGAGCACCAGGCAGAGGAGGTCCACACCCGGGGAGTGCCCATCCGGGCCTTCTTCAACTCTGCCATCCGTGCAGGGGCCCCCCGAAAGAGCCAAGGGGGTCGAGAAGATCTTCTGTCCATAGTGGCAGCTCCGAGAAGGGGACTCCATCCAGGACGAGGGGGTCAGCAAGGCCCTAGTGAGTGGGGCAATGAGAAGAACTCCGCCAAGGAGAAGCTCCAGAAGGAACGAGAAAAGTTCCAGAAGACAATTGTCGTCGCCGAAGAGAAATACCAAAAGTTTAGGAAGGCGTTCTTGGACAAGCAATTAGTTTGAGAGCGCCTCAAAATTCAGTTAAAGGAGGCGTGGCAAGGTCTTTCTAAGGAACAAGTGGAAAGAGTTAGGATGGAGAGCATTGTCTCTGAGGCGGAGACACGGGCAACCGAGGCTGAAAGAAGAGTTGCCGAGGCCACGACGTCAGTGGAGCAATCTAGGAGAGTAGTGGCCGAAGCGGTGGAGGCATATAAGAAGTCCTTCGATTACCAGGACACGCTCACATAGTATGGGTCGTCCTCCTACCTCGACGGAGTCAAAGATACGAAGAAGGCACTCCTACTGGTGATGCCAGATTTTGACGTCGAGGGGCTGCAAGTGATCCCCAATGCTCCCAACGAAGCCCAGCCTACTGATGACTCTGTTCCTCCTCCTACCGGTGGTGAGGCTTAGTCATGGATCTGCCCCCTTTTACTTTTCCTTTTCCTTTTTGTTCTCTCGTTTTTTTTGTAAATGTACATATACTTGGCCTAC